ATCTTCTGACATATCTATCTGGCATATCTTCTGGCATATTTTCTGGCATTCTATCTGGCAAATCTTCTGGCATTCTATCTGGCATTCTATCTGGCATTCTATCTGGCATATCTTCTGGCATATTATCTGGCATTCTATCTGGCATATCTTCTGGCATATCTTCTGGCATATCTTTGACATTCTTTCTGACATTCTTTCTAACTTTCTTCTGCACATTCTTTGTCCCATATCTTCCTACATGAGGTCCGGCAGGGAACACTTGGCGTGGATACTTGCGGTTGAGGTCCGGCAGGGAACACTGGGCGTGGATGGTCGTGGTTGAGGTCCGGCAGGGAACACTGGGCGAGGATGGTCGTAGTTGAGGTCCGGCAGGGAACATTGGGCGTGGATGGTCGTGGTTGAGGTCCGGCAGGGAACACTGGGCGTGGATGGTCGTGGTTGAGGTCCGGCAGAGAACACTGTGGATCGCGGGTCGCAGTTGAGCAAGGACGACGAGGACGACGAGGACGACGAGGAGGACGAGGAGGAGGAGGAGAGGAGGACGAGGCAGGAGGAGGCGGAGGAGGAGGAGGCAGGAGGAGGCGGAGGAAGAGGAGGAGAAGGAGGAGGAGGAGAAGGAGGAGAAGGAGGAGGAGGAGGAGGCAACTGACATAAAATCTAACAACCCTCACCTGGCAGGTGGGGAAAAAAATGTATTTACTTGTGAAGACCATAGTTATCATAGTTTCAGCATGGATTGAAATGTGTGTGTGTGTGTGTTTTCCTGAAACGCGCATGGTCCAAGAGAATAGGATGTTCGCCCGTACCGGGCTGTGATGGGTTGATATTTGATATACCTGTTGATACCTTGTGATTGCACGGAACCTATAATCATCAGAATTATTCATTAATCAAATTACAGCCAAATCTATTGATCATTGTTTGCTAAATAAAAACACATACACTAATATATCAGAATCAACTATATTGATTTATACTATATAAGTTGTAATATAAGTTTTAAAAAATGTTTAAAATAATAAGCACACATATTTATGAGCTTTCCAAAAATATGTCATATTTCTCCAATGGAGAGGAGCCCCCTAAACGACCCGAGGCTCGGATCCGAGAGCTCGTGGTCTACGAAAAGGTGCCTGTGAACTGTCGCCATCCCGTGTCCGGCGTCTCATCTAATTCCATGGTCATGGTCGTCATGGTCCATGGGGAGGTCCATGGGGATATGAAACTGGGTAAATTTCATCGCGACCTCACGTCGTGACCGAGCCCTGGAATCATGGTAAGGAATGTTAGGGGAATCATCCCCAAATGGCCCAACTATTCAGGTTAGTGAAATATGATAATTTACCCAGATGAATGTGCCTCACGATTTTTCATCCCAATGGAATTGGAGACTTATTTTCATCAGCATCCGAGATTGAACATGATGATAGTCAGTGAATGTCCAGAATTTCATAATGTGGTACATTCAATAATAGTCACAATAGAGGTACCCAAATTAAAGATTTATGACATTGGGTACAGCCTGTTCTTTGGGTATGATGTCAAATATCCCCAAATTGTTAGTTAATGGTTTGCCTTATAATTGGAATTTAAATGGGAGTATGAAATGGACTATGAATGCGTCCTTTTTTTGTTGCAAGAGGTTGCCCCAGATCCTCAGGCTAAGTTGGTTGAAGTCATTGTCAGCAATCAGAACGGGTGGGAACCACTTTGTGGGAGGGTCAGGGAACAGCAATCCCAGTACAGAGTGATGCCAGGATCATGCAAATAGGCAGTTCATGGTAGAAAATTGCAATTCTTTGAATGTCGTTATGACAAGGTTTCTTGGTCAAACCAGCTTGTTAGTGCATTTTTGTTCAAAACTAGGGTTTGTTAAATCCCACATGTTGTCCTTACCATTTCTGCTTGCTTAGCTCAGATTTATGCATGTTTCAGCATTTTACATACCCATTTGATCCATTTATACCGATTCCTTGGTTTACGTCCCTAATCTGCAATGTTTTACAACATTTAGATCCCAGTCTAGTTGTGGCTGCCAAACAGGCATTCTCTCTCTCTCTCATGGTTGTAACATGTTGTATCAAAAGAACCCAACCAGTGTAGCACATAGTTGTAACTAGTTACAACTCGTGATTAGATAATTTAATATGTGGCTGAAACAACAGGCTATGATGGTTGATGACAATTTATATATCTATCTATCTTCCTATCTATAAATCAATGAACCAATCATAACCCAATCTATTTCTACAATTTTCTACATCTGCTGTTCTTTTATACCATCATTTCCCCAGGCTTTCCCCAGGCTTTTCCCCCCGTTGCACCCCGTTGCCGCGACCGGCGACGAGGCGACGGCCCCTTGGACTTCGCAGTGCTGCGACGCAGGCCTGCGAGCGCCCGGACGCTGCTGGCCTTGGGCGCCACGCTGGCGAGCTGCAGCAGCCAGGCGGAAGGGCCATGGGGAATAGCATAGATACAGGATTCATAGTATTATGCTGGAATAAATATGAATAATGGGTACATGACAACAATAGACAATAGACAATATTCATATAGTATTACCATAGGTACATTACTGTAATAGTATGATGATGGATATATGACCAACGTATTACTAGATATTAGAAGTATTATAATGATAGATTGTAACATATATTATATAAATATATATATATATATATATAGTTTTAATAAGTATAAGAGTATCGTCCTATAACTCGGATGAGTAGTATGAATAGATGATTATACTCATTGTAGTTGATTACCTAGTATTTAACAATTAGATTAGAAACTGTAATAAACAACATATACAGATATTTAACAATAGATGGCCAATGGGCATATTTATTGTAGTTTGTGCCAGCGGGGGGAAAACCGCGCCAGTAGTCGTGCACATTTTTGAAAACACGCATATGTTACTGGGTCGGGTGGGCTGGAGTGTGTTAACGTTCATGTTAACTTGCGTCACATGCACATGCTACGTCACGTCTTGGGTTGGGTGTGTGTGTGTGTGTGTTAACGTTCATATTGACTTGCGTCACATGCACATGCTATGTCACGTCTTGGGTTGGGGGGGTGTTAACGTTCATGTTAACTTGCGTCACATGCGCATGCTACGTCAAGTCTTGGGTTGGGTGTGTGTGTGTGTTAACGTTCATATTAACTTGCCGCACATGCGCATGCTACGTCACGTCTTGGGTTGGGGGGTGGGGTGTGTTAACGTTCATGTTAACTTGCGTCACATGTGCATGCTACGTCACGTCTTGGGTTGGGGGTGTGTGTGTTAACGTTCATATTAACTTGCCGCACATGCGCATGCTACGTCACGTCTTGGGTTGGGGTGTGTGTGTGTGTTAACGTTCATCTTAGCTTGCGCCACATGCATATGCTACGTCACGTCTGGGCTTCCCCTTGCTGGCTGGCATCATAATTGTAGTATGCGCACAGATGTTGATACAGGTGTAAAACAGGAACAAGGCCTTGTAACCTGTCGACACTAAGCTTCATGTTGTGTTTTGTTCATACAATCAGAGTGCTATGTTTCAAAAAAAGGCCATATACCATGGAGTCTTGCGACCAGAGTCAACAGCCATGTGAACCCAAAACTGATTCGAA